TTGAACGCATCATGATAACCTAATTGTCGTTTTACTGAGCCAATCTGAACGCATCATCAGGCAGCACGTCTGAAACTATTTACTTTTCAAGCTAACTAGCTTGTATGCTTCCGATTACAAGATGGATTTCACAATTACTATTTTTAACTGACCGGACAAGCTACAAAGTCTGTGTGCGCGCTTACCAGTGGTACTCTGAGTGGATGATATAGACGGGCCCGACTGTGGTGCTGCGGCAGCAGCAGGAGGAGGAGGAGTCTTTTCCGTTCAGCCATTCTCGAGTCGCGAGCAAAGTTAAGTGCCAGACTGCACTTGTTTTACTTTTAATATCTGTTTGCTTACAATTTCATTCCAAAACATTGGTGGACATGCTGCAGTGATTGGATTGATTAGATTTAAATGCTGTGACGCGACTCAAGGGACACACAATTATGTTACAGGACCTCCGGGAGAAAAAAAAAAAAATGACCAGACTCAATAGTGGTATCGATAAGCCCAAACGTTATTGATTTTCGGGTTTTGAAAAAAGTGGAACCGGGTCCTTGATGGAACCGGGTTTCGATCCCCATCCCTAGTAATGGGCGATCTCGCAATCGCTAGTTTGTTGGCTCTGCGCTGCCGTAGTGCAAAGATGTCTGCCTCCATGGCTGCGAGACCCGCTCCTATGTAATTATAAATAACAAATTCTAAGGCAACGCAAATATTAAGGTTAAGAGGCTGAGCTCGTAGATGATGATAAATAACATAGTTATGTATAATATATTACATTTCTGACTGTATATCCCTGTAATTATTACACACTGTAGCTTTAAGCAGCTAATTAGAACTGGTTAGTCCTTTTATTTAAGTAACCTAGGTAAAGTGATTAAGGAATTAGAATTATTATTAATAGAATTATTATTAAGCAAAGTGCTATAAAACTTATAATTTAACACATGCAAACTTGCATTGTAGATCGTTTTCTTACATGACAAATGCTGAGAAAAAAAATGGTGATATAGTTAACAAAGAACTTATATATAGTATTATAGTATATATAATATACATATACGCACACACACATATATATATATACATATATATAGATATATCTATATATATATCTATATATATCTATATATATATAGATATATATATATAAAAAACTGTTTTCTCACCCCTCGTGGGGTGGTATGTGTCATCCTCAAGCTCGGGTCCTCTACCAGAGGCCTGGGAGTTTGACCCCAGGCTCACACCGACTCCGGTCTTACCGTTGCGGTGCGGTGGGTGCGGCGCCGCAGTGATTCCAAGTCATTAAAAAGACGTAAACCTCTCTCACTGGCTGCTGAGCAGTCCGGCTGCGGTTAGCGAGACACTCCGGCGCTGCAGAAAATTCCGCAAGAAAGCTATCCTTGCGGCGTGCCGGAGCCCTCCGCAACAAGCTCTCGCAAATATCCTTATTTGGGCCGTGTTATCGCTAAAGTTACGTGAACTCAAGTGAACTTCTGTTAAATCTCCGGACCTGTTGCCGGAGCCGCAGAGCCGCACCGCACCGTAGTCAAAAGGGCGGTGTGAGAGGGGGTGTGCGGGAGTTGCGGTCTCCGTCGGCTCGGTAACCGCACCGGAGCCAGTGTGAGCAAGGGGTGAGGGTTCTGCGCAGTATCTTAGCTGTTCCTAGGACTGCGCTCTTCTGGACAGAGACCTCTGATGTTTTACCTGGAATCTGCTGTAGCCACTCTCCTAGTTTGGGGGTCACAGCCCCCAGTGCTCCAATTACCACTGGCACCACTGCTGCTCTTACTTTCCACATCTTTTCTAGCTCCTCCTTCAGCCCTTGGTATTTCTCAAGCTTCTCGTGTTCTTTCTTCTTGATGTTGCTGTCGCTTGGGATTGCCACATCTATCACTCCTGCCTTCTTCTGCTGTTTGTCGATCAACACGATGTCTGGTTGGTTAGCCATCACCTGTTTGTCAGTCTGGATCTTGAAGTCCCATAGGATCTTAGCTCGGTCATTCTCAACTACCTTAGGAGGTGTCTTCCATTTTGACCTTGGGACTTCCAGCCCACACTCATGGCAGATGTTCCTGTACAGTATGACAGCTACCTGGTTGTGGCGTTCCATGTATGCACTTCCTGCCTGCATTTTACACCCTGCTGTTATGTGCTGTATTGTTTCAGAGGCATCTTTGCACAGTCTGCATCGGGGGTCCTGCCTGGTGTGGTAAACCCTGGCCTCTATTGATCTTGTACTAAGTGCCTGTTCTTGTGCTGCCATGATTAGTGCCTCTGTGCTGTCCTTCAGTCCAGCCTTTTCCAGCCACTGGTAGGATTTTTTGATATCAGCCACTTCTTCTACAGGTATTTGTCTGTGGTATACGCCGTGCAGCGGCTTGTTCCTACCATGATGGTTCTCCTTCCTCTTTCTTGTCCTCACTTTCGGTTTTCTCCTGCCTGAGGTATTCACCAAGCCATTTGTCTTTGGGGGCCATCTTTCTGATGTACTCCTGGATCTTAGTTGTTTCATCCTGGACAGTGGTCTTGACACTCACTAGCCCTCGGCCTCCCTCTCTACGCTTGGTGTACAGTCTCAGAGTGCTGGATTTGGGGTGGAACCCTCCATGCATGGTGAGGAGCTTTGTCGCCTTGATGTCAGTAGCCTCTATCTCCTATATATATATATACACTATATTGCCAAAAGTATTTGCTCACCCATCCAAATTATTGGAATCAGGTGTTCCAATCACTTCCATGGCCACAGGTGTATAAATTCAAGCACCTAGGCATGCAGACTGTTTTTACAAACATTTGTGAAAGAATGGGTCGCTCTCAGGAGCTCAGTGAATTCCAGCGTGGAACTGTGATAGGATGCCACCTGTGCAACAAATCCAGTCGTGAAATTTCCTCGCTCCTAAATATTCCACAGTCAACTGTCAGCTGTATTATAAGAAAATGGAAGTGTTTGGGAACGACAGCAACTCAGCCACGAAGTGGTAGGCCACGTAAACTGACGGAGCGGGGTCAGCGGATGCTGACGCGCATAGTGCGAAGAGGTCGCCAACTTTCTGCAGAGTCAATCACTACAGACCTCCAAACTTCATGTGGCCTTCAGATTAGCTCAAGAACAGTGCGCAGAGAGCTTCATGGAATGGGTTTCCATGGGCGAGCAGCTGCATCCAAGCCATACATCACCAAGTGCAATGCAAAGCGTCGGATGCGGTGGTGTAAAGCACGCCGCCACTGGACTCTAGAGCAGTGGAGACGCGTTCTCTGGAGTGACGAATCGCGCTTCTCCATCTGGCAATCTGATGGACGGGTCTGGGTTTGGCGGTTGCCAGGAGAACGGTACTTGTCTGACTGCATTGTGCCAAGTGTAAAGTTTGGTGGAGGGGGGATTATGGTGTGGGGTTGTTTTTCAGGAGCTGGGCTTGGCCCCTTAGTTCCAGTGAAAGGAACTCTGAATGCTTCAGCATACCAAGACATTTTGGACAATTCCATGCTCCCAACTTTGTGGGAACAGTTTGGAGCTGGCCCCTTCCTCTTCCAACATGACTGTGCACCAGTGCACAAAGCAAGGTCCATAAAGACATGGATGACAGAGTCTGGTGTGGATGAACTTGACTGGCCTGCACAGAGTCCTGACCTCAACCCGATAGAACACCTTTGGGATGAATTAGAGCGGAGACTGAGAGCCAGGCCTTCTCGTCCAACATCAGTGTGCGACCTCACAAATGCGCTTCTGGAAGAATGGTCAAAAATTCCCATAAACACACTCCTAAACCTTGTGGACAGCCTTCCCAGAAGAGTTGAAGCTGTTCTAGCTGCAAAGGGTGGACCGACGTCATATTGAACCCTATGGATTAGGAACGGGATGTCACTTAAGCTCATATGTGAGTCAAGGCAGGTGAGCAAATACTTTTGGCAATATAGTGTATATATATATATATATATATATATATATATATATATATATATATATATATATATATATATGTTATTGCTTCATTCTCCCACTCCTCGGAGTGTTGATTGCATTGCAGGATAATGTGTGGAGTGTGCACAGTAGTTTTATGATCAGCTATAATTCACCTTAAAAGACACAGAATTTACTTAATTCTTTAATAGAGGGTTAAAGACATTTTTTTAAAACCAAAATAATATTAGAAAAATCTCTTTGCTAAATTAAAATTTCTCAACAGATAATTAATATGTGGTTCTTACGACCACTTTTGAATAAAAAATTAAGATTTTTTTCTTAATTTTTTTTTTTTTTTTTTTACAATGTTTTGTGTTTCTGTATCCCACCAGAGTGCTTGAATGAATAAAATGTTTTGCACTCTAAATAACAGAAGACATTTCATTCACAAATTAAATTGATGAACAGCACATTTGTAGTAGTTGTTTTAGTGAACCAAAAAAAAAAAAATCAAATTATTTTTGATTAAATTAAAATTAGTCTTCTATCAGCAAGTGGAAAAAAAGAGCAAAAGAAATCTGTTTAAAAGAAAAAAAAAGGTATTTGATTTGATCTATGATAAGTATGTGGCAGAAATAGTTTCGGGATGTAAAGAAATCAGTAGAAATGTGTCTTCCAATGAAACATAACCGTGCACTGTTTGATTTATTTCAGTGGAGATAAGTTATTATTAATCTGTTATTAAGGTTAAAGCAGAAATAAAAATCCCATCCATCCATCCATCCATCCATCCATCCATCCATCCATCCATCCATCCATCCATCCATCCATCCATCCATCCATCCATCCATCCATCCATCAAACCTACCAGCCATTCAACCAACCAACCAATGGTATCCCTCTAGGTCTCCTCCTGGTGGGACAAGCTCGGAACAATTCACCTCGGAGGCATCCAGGAGGCATTCTAACCAGATGCCTGAGTCACCTCAACTGGCTTCTCTCTACGTGGAGAAGCAGCGGTTCTACTCCAAGTTCTCCCCTGATGACTGAGCTCCTCACCCTATCTCTAATGGAGAAATATAAATCCCCCAAAGATAAAACATTGGTCTGAAGCTGGAAAACAACTTTATTTTACACCATCTTTCAGCAATCAGGATTTAGTCTGATTTTTGCAGATATACACACAAATATATCAAAAGTCATAAGGCTAAACTGTAAAAAAAAATTTGAAAAAATGATTACAGCCAAACTCCATGGCAGAATGCACTGAAATGATTAAAACTTCAAGCTTGTTTTTAAATAAAGTTTAAAATACTGCAATGGTACCAACACATTAATTAAAGTATACATTAAACATCTCTGTCCTTCAAACAGGAAGCTCTTCTACTTTAAGATTCTCCTCACAGAAAAAAAAATCAACAAAAGTAAACAAAGTACTTCAAAGGCCTCTTCATCATTCACCTCCTCAGCTCCATCTTTCCACTCCATTTCTTTCTCTCTACTTAACTGCTTCTTTCTATTATCTTTGGTGCATGTGCAATATAATCCACTTTATACTTCATGGCAATACACAATGAGCTGCGTGGTTGCAGGTAAAACTACAGCAGTTGTGCAAAGGTGGGAAACAGAAGGCATCTGTGAGTGTGACAGCAGAGTGGATTCATTAAACTCTCCAAGTGAGCAAGCAGGGCAGCTATTCAGCATCATCAGTCAAAGTAAACCTGTAATGAAAAACAGACTAATGAAAAACAAAAACACAACCCAACATTAACTGAAGAGAGAATGTAATTAACAAGAAACCACATTGAAAGGTTTAGAGACACCTAACGGCCGGACACTTTACCATTTGATGATAATTTGCTTTTAAAACCAACTCCTCCCATGAGTTAAGTAGTTTTTAGCTAAAATTCTTTATTGGGAGAATTTATACACTATACGATAAAGTAAATGTTGCTATTTTCATATTAAATTAATAAATAAGTTTGTAAGGGATCTTATCCAGAACCAAAACAGTGCCTTTATACAGTGTTTAGGGTTTGTTCAATCAGTTAATCTCACCAGTCAGTGACTCCAGAAGTCAGGTCAATCTGGGCCAACTCAATCAGCACCTGAAAGAGTAGATTAGTAACTGGGATCAGTTAGTCTGCATGTAGCCTGTGGATTTTAGTGAGTGAAAGATAAATAGCATATTTAATGTAGAAGAAGTAATCAGCCAGGCTGCATGCCGAAGATTCTTCCTATTCATATGTACAGTTTTTTTTTCTGCACGTTTTTTGGTTGAGTTACATCACATTGCCTGTATAGTTGTTTTTTGGTTGCCATAAATGTATGGTGATAGCACAGATAAAGCTGTATATGGATGCAGCCTCACACTGACCTGTCCAATAACATCCGGGCTCCTGAAAGAGGCGGAGTTATTTTTTACTGACACACTGAGGCGCCTGAATCTGGCCTCATCCTCACGCAGATCATACTCAAACCTTGAGAGACATGAACAAATATAAGAAAACAGTTCAGAAAATAAACAGCTACAAACTATATAGAGTAAAAATGTTTACCTTTCATTGTACTCTGGGTTGAGGTCTTTTTTCCTCACTGCTGTCTTTTTCTTGGTAGCTTTACTTTTGTCTGGGAGCAGCATGATGGAGACATAGCTGTCAACAGAGTCCTTACTTGGAGAAACCAGACCTCTGTGTAAAAGGCAAAATATTTAACTTAACCTTTTTGCTTTTCTGTGTAAAAACATCCTTAATAGGAGAAAAACGTGAGCTTATTTGAAGCAGAGGCTGTATTTACAAAGTCAGGAATGCTCAGTAGATGCCAGACATAAAGTAATGTTTCATATGTCATTATTGTTTCTTTGCAGAGTGAATCCATGTAGTAACAGGATATAAACAAAAACTGGTTAGTAGAAACGATCTGTTGATGTCAGGTAGAGAATGCAGCTTTTTGAATATGACTGGTGGTTTTCAATACTAATGAAATTAATATAGAGATTTTCTGAGTTTACAACATACATGAAGTTTATTCTTTTAAATTCAATCACATATCTGCTCTGGATCAGCTGCTGGCTTTTCTTAAATGACTCTATATCGGGCAAAAGATCAGAATTTAGGGGATACAAACAAATGACAGAGGAAATAATCCAGATTTCTCCCTAAAATAGCTAAATGGCATGAATAAAATAGCTTCATTTCCAGTATAGCTGGTTTCAATTATTGAAATAATCTTCAACTAATTTAGTAATTGATTAATCATTATTTGGAGTATAGAAACTGTAAAACAAGCCTTTAGCTGACAGAATGACCCACATAGAGCAGTTATTATACCAAAATATAATATACAACATTTTTCATTCAAAAATTTGCTCTATCCAAAACTCCTCAAGTGGAAAGGTTTTAATTCAACCTGGTTTAATTTCATTAAAAAATAAAAAATTCTTTAATGAACCTTTTGCTGTCTGAGTATTAATCAATTATTGGAAAAAAATAATCAACAGATTAATTGGTTAGCAAAATAATCGTTAGTTATAGACCTAGTGACTACAGCATGATATAATCAAGCATGTCTGTCATTCTATTTAAAATTTATTCTTATTAACAATCTAAGTTTGTTCAAATGAGATCAGTGTGACATGGTTTGGTTTTTGTAACCTAAAACTAGTCTTTGTGTTAACATGGTCAAATTCAATAAGAAAAGTTACAAACACTATCTGTATGTTTCAACACACACCTGCAGGCATGGACAATCACCACCAGTTTTCTCTCCTTTGAGCTGTAAGACAGGGACAACTTCACCTGACCATTTCCAGGTGCAGGAGCAGTACAGGGCAGAGTCCCTGAATCAATCATGTCCACCATCTTGGAGTTCAGGATCTGTTAGAAACATAATAAGACTATCTGTATTACTAATCAAAGCTAAAAGCATTCAGATGAAGCGTGTCGACATTATTTTAGATCTGTCACCTTAAGTTCAGCCCTCAGCAGGATCTGACTTTCAGGTAAGGCTCCATCTAAAGGAAACCACTGATCCAGGACCAGCTGTGGTGCAGCCAGAAGATTCTTAAGTGTGATCACCAGAGCTCCAATTGGCTCATCCCAGCCACTGGACAGCTGCAATCCAACCAGAGGGATAGTTATTTTTGACAGAATTTAAGACTATTTAGTGAGCAACAACAAGAGATATGGGAACCATCCTGCCTTTGCCACAAGCATCTGACGTTTAGGATCATGGACCAGGAAGTAGAAAGACTCATTCCACTGAGGATCTGTACTCCGGTCACACAGCTGGCGAGAGGTGAAACGCAAGTTATTGGAAAAGCTGAATCACTACAAGACGAGCAAAAGGCTTTAGGAGTCTCACTTTAGTTTTGTAGGTTGTTTCACCTAGAACAAGCTCAACACCTGCTTTAGGTTCTTTTCCACTCTTCTTAAGCTGTATTAAAAAAGGAGCAATGTTTTATTTTACATGAAATCATATATGCAGCAGACAGTGATGATAGATTAACATCAGCTGACTCACTGGTAGTGAATGTGCTCCCTCCAAGTAGACAGAGAGCAGAGCGGCTGAGGGAACAGCTTTGTTCTGATATGACTGCAGAGTTTGAAGCTGCAGCACCTAGAAACATGAAGCACAGCATCTTGTTTACGTTGTTTGCACGCATCTAACCAATATTTAAAAGGTCATCACTCATAGAGGACAATTATATAGTCATAGATGGCCGACCTGTTCTACTCTTGCTGAGTTTGACACAGTAGGAACCCATTCTAGAATCAAATGAATTTGTCCAGATTTCACATCCTTCAGAGAGAACCACTGCAGCAGGGAGAGAAGAAGAGAGATAGTTACAGATAAACAGGCTGGACAACACCCTTCAATAAAATATATAACAACACAAGGTTAGGAAGTCACAAGATGAGTTTCGGGATCATGAGTTACTGACTAACCTGATCTGTGTACTGTGATCTGATGACCTCATTTAGCTGAACAGTGAATCTGTAAACGGGAAAACAGGCAAATGTTTAGCAGAATCTCACAGGGCCTTAAAAATGCTCATGCAAGCATTAAATTCCTTATATTTTATACAGATTTAATGTTAGAACAAATCAAAGGGTTTTGTAACAGAAAAGCTTAAAGAAAGAAAAACTAAAAGTGGTTAGAATTTGTATTCAGCCCACCTTAATCAGTTTGTAAGACTACATTTTGGTGCAAATAATGGTGCAAGTCTGTCTTTGTATGCCTCTATCTGCTGCACACATAAAAAGAATTAAACTGTTGCTAGTTTTTATCCCCCAAACTTCTCCATCTTGGGCAGAATGAGTTAAGAATCTCTGTGGATATTGATTTAAAGTCTAAAATGATTTAGGTATGTCTCTGACTGAGCAATTCTAACACATACATAGACTTTGATATAATCGATTCTACTATAGATCTGCATATAATTAACAGTTTTTGTCCTGTTTCACGGTTTAACATAATATCCCCTCTAAATAAGAAATGTGATATTGTTACTAAAGAATGTACATATCCAGTGAAAAAAGGGGAAAGTATAAATAGTTTTGTGAGGCAATATAAATAAAAATTGTTTCAACAATTCATACACACCGTCCTAAGAAGTCATCTGAATCTATGTCCTTATCAAATGCTTCAAACTTGATGTCCTGATTGCTGCGCCCATTCACAACTACCTGTTCAAAGAAGCATAAATAAATGCCTTCAGAAAAACAAGCAGACAGGAAGAAAACAAGCTGTTATATTTGAAGCATCATCCTGCCTACCTCGTACATCTCATTCCATGTCGGGTTTAGGTTCTCTTTGATGACATGACTTTTAAAAGAATTCTCTCCGATGTTGATTTTAACATAAGGATCACTCTTGCCCTTCACCATGCCCCCCATCAGGTTGTCTTTTGCTATTAGGTTCTTGGCTTCCAGCAGGTGGATCCTCAGCACCCCCTACAGGAAGAACATGTAAACTGTTTAAAACAAGTTCATAAACACAACTTAAAATCTGGCATTTCTCTTCATTTTGGTAAGCATTAAATCAATCAATTAGGGTAAAAGGGTGGTCACATGTTTTTTTTTTATTCTAAAATGTATAGAAAGCTGCTATATTCTTCTTGTTTTCTGTTTCAACATCAAACCAACAACACAAGCAATTTATGAGTCATCCATCCTTTGGTAAATCCCAGGCTTTATTTTGAGCTTCTGGAGATTTTACAAGCCGACACGAGACAACCACATATGCATCAAAATACTGGGAACCAGCCCCATCCATGAGACTACAGGAGGATAAACAGGCTGAAACCAGGCAGCATTTTTCCCTTCAACCATCCACCATCTGACTATATTATTATAAACACAGGCAGCTGCATCACAGACCTTAGATCAGTAGAGCTTTTTCAAACGAGTATCACCTCTTGTTATAATGCATTTTGTATGTAGTGTCATAAAGAGAGTTGTTATAAAACAACTATTTAACAGGACCTGGGCTTTGATTAGTTGGTTTTTAACATTAGCTAATCTGATTCAGATTTCACTGGTGCTGCATCAGATCCCAGTCCATATCCACAGCAGCTGTAGCAGCTGCTTCTGTCCCCTTGAACCCCAGTCGGCCAAAGCAGATGGACGCTCACACTGAGCATGCTTCTGCCTGAGTTCTCTTCTTGTTAAAAGGGAGTTTTCCTCTTCACTGTCGCTACAAGCATGCTTGGTAACTATGAACCAATCTGACTATATGATCTGGTTGAATTGTCTCTGTAAAGTCCCTTGAGATAATGTGTTGTGTTTTGGCGCTATATAAATAAACAGAATTTAATTTAATTAACTAACTGAAGGTTGTTGGTTTGTTTTACAAACTGATGAAAATCATATGCTGCTAAATCATTAGTTTGATGATCCTATTAGTCCATGGGCAAGGCAGCAATCCCCCTAAGTAAGCCCTCTGTATCTATAGCTTTCCACTTTATTGCATGTATTATCCAACTGTGGTTAACATGCCTTGTTACACAACACTTATGGGATTTGAGGTGAATGCAAAACTTGAAGTTGAGACTAAAAGATTTCTATTCTTCTTTTAAATGATTAGAGATCAATTAAGAGCTTTGATTGTCATAAATGTTTAGTCAGAACAATAAGCAAACACACTTTTAATTGCAACCACGAAACTATTTTCTACTGCGTTATTATTTTAGTACTAATTAATTAGACTATCATCACGCTGCAAATTGACAATGGGAATCTGCTTGGGGGTCTTTTATTTAAAAAACAAAACAGATTTATAATTAGAAAGTTAAAAACACATCAGTACTTCATTTCTTTCTTTTTTTATCCTCCACACTTGAATTCCGGCTCTTCTAGCAGCATGTGACTGTTTGTGGACGTTGCCAAAAACACAAATACTTAAAAAAGAAACAATGCTGGCTGTTGGAAGCCAGTTGTTACACTTAAGACTTTATTTGAAAACGTACCTCTTTACCAAAGTCTTGACTCGGCACCGTGTGTGGAGGAAGTTTTGGACCCACTTTGGGAACGTCTACGACCTCTACTGAGGGTGCTGGATCAGTGGGTATACCTGTCACTGTAGCCTTTGCAAGACCTCCTAAACCTGTCCTGCACACATTGACATCCAGAAAACACTGCTTACTGTGCTGTTTTATAGCTATTTTTTTCCAAAATGAATTTGTTGTGGTAAAATGGTGAAAAGGGATTATTTGATTCACTCACTCTGGCTGTGGCTTCATGTCTCTTTCAACCTTAATGAGTGATTCAGTTGGAGCCTCTTCTGCAGGTGCTGGCTCCTCCACTCGCTAATAGAACAGTATATTGGTTACAAGGGTTTAAACAGACAATGAGGACAGAGTTATTTCTGCCTGTAAGCTATGTGACGTACAGCAGGAGAATGGGATGTATCATGCTTGGCTTCAGGGTGTGCAGGATGGACCGACACAACAGGGGAACTGAAAACACAGTGAACATAAAAGTCCGTCATCAGTAAAACTATTGGAATATAATATTTAACAAGATGTCTAATTTTCACTACAGTATAAAGTTTAAATTATTCATTATTTAAGGCACATACTGTATGGATAACTCACTCATCTGTTGCCAAGTTTTGTCTTTTTTCCTCCTCTTCAGCTGTTTCCAGCATCTTTTCAGCAGCAGCAGCAGTTTTACTTTCTTCTTCTGAAACAGCTACAGATGTCTGTGGAACTTCTGTCAGCCGTGTGTCAAGAATCTTCCAACAACAAATTTCCACTTAGTGTCTCTGTTGTCAGTTGAAAGGAGATAATCTGAGCATGTAAATGTTGTCCTACTTTCAGCTCTGCTCTGAGGAGGATCTTGCTTTCAGGTAAGGCTCCATCCAGAGGCATCCACTGGTCCAGGAGCAGCTGAGGCTCAGAGAGGAGCTGCCTCACAGGGAGCACCAGGGATCCCATCGGCTGATCCCATGCACTGGATAACTTCAAACCACAGGATACATTAACGTCACTATTTGACAGGAGCAGACACCTCAGTGGTTTTGTGAAGCATTCAGGACATGTACCTTCACTATGAGCATCTCTTCATTTGGGTCATGGACCTGGAAGTGGAACGCTTCACTCCATTGTGGAGATCTGGAGCGATCACAAACCTGCCGACAGTAAAGCAGAGATAAAAGATGATAAGGAGATGGTATAAATACATTGTTCTTGAGTAACAATTTACATTTTATCTTTCTACTACATATTCCTATCAAGTCTGGTGGGGTTTTTGGTGAGAACAACCGCTTTGTATGTTCAGAATATTTGCTTTTATTTAGCTATCATCACCATTACACAGCTGTGATGAAGTGGTACAAATAAAATAAGTAGCTAAAAAGTATTTAATGCAGATAAACTCATGTAGACTTTGTAGATTATTTAATTATTTTGTTTTCAGTTTCATACCTTGGTTCTGTGAGTTGTGCTCCCAAATACAAGTTCAGCTCCAGCTTTTGGTTCCTTACCACTCTTCTTAAACTGCACACAGCAAAACACATCCCAACATTATAAAACCTTGTATCCCTTCCAGTAATTATGGCTGCATATCCAACACAAAAACCTCAAAACTGCTCTTTAACCAGTAGTTCCCTTCTGGGAGCATTTCTATGTATGACTAAATGAGTGCATGCACTTTGGACCTCTCATCCATCTAATTCCAAATAACAAACTTGTATGTTTCAGGATACTAAACTGGAGACCACTCACAGGCAATAAGTGTGCTCTGTCCATGTAAACAAAGAGCAGGGCTGCAGAGGGAACAGTCTTGTTTTGGTAGGACTGGAGAGACTGCAGCTGCATCACCTGGAATCAGATCAAAAACTCATCACAGTGACTCAGCACTCAGAGAGAAGCACAACGCAGAGTAACTGGGATCAGATATACAACTAAAGATGGAGCAGCTAGGCTTTTTCCTGACATACCATACACAGATAACAGTTTGAGCTTTTCTGTAACATCTGACCAACAAGTTATTACAAAAACATAGATTGGGAAAACATGGAATTAGAGGATTATCCCCATGTCTGCATCAGAGCTTATGACCCCCTCCTTCAATAAGCATTTTATTTAAACCCATGGAAATGAATCAAACATGCTCTGTCAACTAACAAAATGCAGAACATTTTTCCGAGCTACCAAACATTAACCAGAGCTAATCAGCAAAAGATTTTTAGTCCACTGACTGCATTTAACTTAAGAGAATCGAAAAATTTAATTAAAATATAGGATTGGAATTAGAGAAAAAAATTATAATAATGTACTAACCTGTTCCAGCTTGTCATTACTGGACACGGTTGGCACCCACTCCAGTATAAGACGAAGGCGACCGGACTTTACATCATTCAGGCTGTACCACTGAGACAAAAATATTGATTTACAGACATTATTTATTAATTCATACATTAGCCATCTAGGAAGATTGATCAACACTGCACTAGCAAGAGAAATACCAACCTGATCTATGAGTTGGGAACGGATGATGTCTGAGAGATTGATCTTTAAGCTGTTGAGAAGGAACAACAGAATGTAGCAACATGAATACAGACATTTGCTAAATGAAGTCAGATTTTAGGAATGCACCAATCCACATATTTAGTGCAGATTCCAATACTTTTCCTAACCAGGGCTGCGTTTACTTTAATGTTATTATCATCATTACTGATGACATTTTAGAAGCTTTCATAAACTCCGATTTACAACCAAGGAAAATAGACTAAATACATTTACCCCTACAAATTGGACACGTTTTCCAATAGCTAACAGATAAAGATATTAATATCGGATTAGTGCATCTCTACTTAGACTGATAGACTGTCTATTATTAAGGAATTGGAGGAGATATTTTTTTTAGGGATGCACAGGAAATCAACAGAATATGTATTAAAAAAAACTTTTATTAAAAATATAGATTTTTCAAAATTTGCAGAGGTTCTTTATTCCTTTGTCACCACATTATGGCAACATAAAAATTAAGCAGCCTTACCGGCCCAAGAAGTCATCTTTGTCCATATCTTTGTCAAACAGTTCCACCTGAACCACCTGCCCTGGCTGAGGTCTTAGAACCACCTGGTCAAACACAAAGCTGTTTAAAGAACAGTTCTACAGATGCTATAAAGTCAAAAGGTGTGTCGCTGTAAATCACAGACCTCATACAGCTCATTCCAGACTGGGTTGAGGTTTTCCTTTACCACAGCGCTCTTAAACGTGGCCTGACCTATGCTGATCTTTGCGTAGGGGTCACTTTTGCCTTTCTTCAGACCACCCATTATGGTATCTTTGGCAACCAGACTCTGAGCCTCCAAAAGGATGAGTCTAAGTAGTCCCTATAAGGATGGAAAACATAAATGTGTATTTATTTAGATTTAAAAAGCTTGTAATGCACTGGAGCTTAAATGGAATGATACAAGCTATGGTTGAGCTCTTTATTTATTACCTCACTGGCAAAGGTGAGGTCTGGGGATGAGTGAGGAGGTAGTGATACAGTTGGGCTCTCTAATTCTTCCTCTTGATCTTCCTTCAATGCAGTTTCCTTTACTTTATGAAACTCCTCATCCAAAGGCAATGTGGGAACAATGGTTTCCACAGGAGGAGTTTCCACAGAGGCTGTCCTAAAACAGAAGCACCATCAAGATATGATTCAATTAAAGAGATTCTCAGGCAGAATAAGTGGAAATAGACTTTTCTGAACTATCTCACTTGAGGATTGTGTCTGTTTCTGGTAGGGGCTTGGCTGGAGCAGGGTCTAACACTTCAGACATCTTAGCCTTTTCAGTAGGAACGGGGCATTTGGTAGGAACCAACACCTGTAATTAGTTTAGTGAAAATAAGCAATGGTTTGATTAACATGAGCATGATAAGAAAAACAAAACAAACCAAGAAACTAGAGCTTAAGAAAGTCTAAATAAGCCTCAGTATGTATGCTACATGATCATGATCAACTTATTTCTGCTGTGACGTTACACCACGTCTGTAATATTCAAGGACCATCTGAAATCAGGTTATTGTTGGTAAATAATCTAAAACAGCTCATAAGTGATTTTAAATTAGTTTTATATATTTAAATCATTCAATCTTAGATGCTTGCTAAAAAATTAGAGTTTAGATGATCCTACCTTAAGTTCAGTCCTTAAAAGGATTTGACTCTCAGGCGAGGCTCCATCCAAATGGAACCACTGATCCAGGACAAGATCTGGTTCAGACAGCAGCTCTCTGATAGGAACAATCAGAGAACCAATAGGCAGTGTCCAGCTGTGGGAAAGCTGAACAAAAAGACAAACCATATTGTTTCATGTTACCTCAGGAGCCTTGTGACAAATCTCTCTTTAAAATCTACATGTCCCACTACTTACCTTGAGAATGAGGATATCCTGTCTTGGATCACGAACAGGGAAGTAGAATGCCTCGTTCCATTTAGGAGAGGTTGTACGATCGCATACCTTCAGAACAGATGGAAAATCAGCAAGAATTAACCAACAACTAAAGCATTGGGCCAACAGGCGCAAACAATATTAGTGGAGTTTAGGATCTTACTGTAGTTTTGCGTGACATTTCACGAAGACTTAACTCCACTCCTACTTTTGGATCCTTTCCACTCTTCTTTACCTAAAGACAACAAGAGGAAACCGTATTTTAAGGGAGATCCTAAACTAACAGAGTATTTTACCTATCATCCAACATAATGGTATAAAAGGACTCACTGGTAGGCCATCTGCTTGTTCGACATACACAAACAGGAGCCCTGCTGAGGGCACTGCCTTGTTTTGATAGGACTGTCTAGAGTGGAACTGAAGGACCTGAAGCCACAGAAAATATTAAAAGAGGTAATTAAGTATTTTCTTTATTTAAAGAAAACTCAGACTAGGTGAATTTTAACGATTCAGTCAATTTTAGCACGTTCTCACCTGGTCTAGCCCGTCTGGTTCTGAAGATGTTGGAACCCATTCCAGGACCATGTGAACTCTACCAGACTTCACATCGTTCAGCGTGTACCACTGACAAATAAAAACACATTACTTCAATATGAGAACAACTGGGTCTGCTTCAAGCAAACTCCTTAATTATTATATTAATTTATGGAATAATATGCTCGACTTTTCGCAAACTAAATATCAACACTTGAGTAAAGCATATGGATAAACCACTTTTTTTTTATTAGTTTCTCATGTTTTGCTTTTTGAATTCTATGTAAACTTCTACCTGGTCTGTGTACTGAGAGTCGATGATATCCTTCAGACTTATCTTCAGCCTGCAATTCATGAAACAGAATGTTTAAAGTGATCATTTAAAAACGATTTGTCATACAATTTGATAAAGAGATGCAAAGTTACCTTCCCATGAAGTCATCTTTCATGTCCATGTCTTTGTCAAACATCTCCACATGCAGCTCCTGACCAGCGAGCTCCGTCAGAATAACCTGCAAAGCACAGAAGTCATATTGCTTTCAGGCGACATTAAAAAAACTTATTGGAATTAGCAAACTCCAGTCACCATTTGAAATGAATAATTAACAGCTACAATGTCCTACCCAGATTCCACTTATCAAGTCTACATACAGAGTAAAGCTTTTTGAAATATCCACCAAAAAGTCCCTGTCGAAGCTCAACTACTTATACCCTTTCGGTTATATATTTCCTTTGATTCTATGTCTGTTTTGCCTCCAGGAAAACATGCATCTCAATTTTCTGCAGTAGAAGTTTTGGTTTTCATGTATTAAAAAACAGTTTTGTAGATTTTGGTTCATCATTTTCTTGATCAAACACATCTGCATTTTCTCTACCACCTTTTACAATGCTTACAGTGAAAGGGAAACTGTATTGGTGGATGCAGCTTTCTGTCTCTTTTTACCAAGGTTTTAATCATTAACTAAAACTAATGAAATAGAATAAAAAAACAAACATTTGTATTAACTGGAATAAAAAAAAAAACTGCAACTCACAAAAAATGAACTGAAACTATAATTAGAGTTTACAAATCTTATTAAAACAGAATATAGAATGTGCTTAATTGTAGTTTGCATTTTATCATAATGCATTAACAGGAGGTCTAGTTTACAGTCACTTTTTTGCTGTGTACCGTGTGTACCGTGGCACAACAGCAGACGGCAAGTACAGCAGGCAGGTCATTTGTGTTGCTGCAGCAGTCTGTCCTCATTAGCGATTTTATAACTAATTCAGTAAGTCGTATTACACAAAAGACTAAAACGTATAATAATAATAATTGAACTTTACTGATCTCACATTGGAGAAATTTATCTCTGCATTTAACCCATCCCCTTGGGAAGCTGTGGGCTGCCATCTTGCGGCGCCCGTGAGCAGCGTGGGGTTAAGGGTCTTTGCTCAGGGACCCAAAGTGGCAGTCTGTGGGATTGGGGCTCGAACTCAGAACCTCAGGAATCCAAGCTCTATGGTCTAACAACTAGGCTGCCACTCCCCACTATTATGTAAACTAATAGAAACTAAACCAAAGACTAAGCATTTTCCGAAAAAAAAAAAAAAATAAACTTAACTAGCCAACAAATACCATTAAACAAATGAAACCTGAAATAAAAAATATCTCAAAAGTCAAACCTAGATGAAAAAAACTAATAAAACATTTCCAAATTATTTCGGCCTCGGTTTGCTGTGCTTTCAAACCAACAGACAGATGTCTGTGCTAAGAGTTTTAATTTATTTAAAGTATAACTAACTGCTCCATACACTGATGAATGTAGATACATTTGTCAAATCTGATTTCTATTTTTAAAAAGGTGAGAAATTATTGATAAAACTTTGTGGGTTTGAGGGTCATGCATTTTCAGAAATAAATTAAAATGAAAAGTAAAACCACGAATGATGGGTTATCTGTCACTGCCAGATGAACGTTAGGGTGACTCCCTTCAACATAATGGTAAGGAGGTGGGGACTGCTTCCAATATCAATAGACCATTTCAAACTGCAGAAACAAGTGTGTATTTTTTCCACATACATGCCAATCAACAGCAAATAGATTGGGAATGGCAAGCTAAAACAAAAAATTTATTCTGACTCAGAACATGTGCAGGTGCCAGATCTACCTCATACATCTCATTCCAGGTTGGGTTCAGATTTCCCTTTATAACTTGACTTGTGAATGTTTCACCCCCAATGTTAATCTTGACATACGGGTCACTCTTTCCTTTCACCATTCCACCCATCAGGTTGTCTTTCGGAATGAGATTCTGACCCGCCAGGAGGTGGATTCTAAACAGCCCCTGAAAACAAAAACATGGTTGAAGACGTACACTAACCTTAGCAGCAGCTGTTGAAATAGATTTAGTGACATTGTATTTTAATACCTCTGTAGCAAAGCTGGGATGAGGGGAGGCCTGCATGGGCAACTGTTTAGAAACTCCAGCAGCCAAATTAGAAGAGACTTCAGCTGAAATACGATCCTCATCCAACCACAAGACCTGTGTTGGAAGAAGAACGACCAAAAATATAAATGAACTTCTGATTATTTGATTTGTAGAATTAACAGCAGAAAAAAAGATAAACTTTGCTGTTATTCACCCTGAGAACTGAGTTGATATAGATGCGACTAGCAGTTCCAGAGTCTTCCAACTGAAACCACTGGTCTAGAGAAAGATGGGATGTCTTCATGACATGGGAGAGAGGGATGGTCACTTTGCCCAGAGTCTGCACGCGGTCAGCATCCTTCACCTGATTATAGGAAGCAATTTCAGGTTTATGATCTTTTAAGGTGTACTGAATCATCTATGCTTTGTTTCAAATCTTGATGGCTGTTACCTGAATGTTTATTTCTTGCGTGCGAGGATCTTGGATGAAAAAGGTAAAAGCTTCCTCCCATTCTGGGTTGATAGTTGTGTAACAAATCTTAAAGAATAAATCAATGATAAATAAATAACAACAGAAAGTAGAAGAAAAGCCACAGTTCCATCAGTTCTCACAGCATTTTCACCTTGCTGTCTTTAGTGGTTCCCTGCACGGATATCTGCACCATGGGATTGGGCTCCTTATTTCCCTTCTTCATCTAAATTTCAGACAAAATAAGAATACAATGTAAAAAAAAATAAACACACATATATTTCAAGGAAACATTACAGAGTTACATGTTGACAAGTTTGTGATTATGGTCTTTTTGATTATCAAAACTCACAGCCACAGCTGGAGATTGGATGGATGGATGGATGGATGGATGGATGGATGGATGGATGGATGGATGGATGGATGGATGGATGGATGGATGGATGGATGGATGGATGGATGGATGGATTGATGGATGGATGGATGGATGGATGGATGGATGGATGGATGGATGGATGGATGGATGGATGGATGGATGGATGGATGGAAGGTTGGACATTTTGCATCCAATAAAACCCAAATTCAGTAACTCAGTAATTTAAAATGTTTCAGATTTGAAGTATAAGTTTTGCTATGACTAACCCAGTAAACAAATTATACTGCTGACAGTCACTGTCATCCTCCACAACAAGCATCAGCCTCAAAAAGTAATTTATAAAGACACTGGCTGCTTATGGAGGGTGGTAGAAACAGGACACAAGGAACAGAGATAACCACAGCCTCCAGGGAACTGGGAAAAACAGTCCACTTAAGGATTTGAGATAATAACAAGGTGCAGAATGCAGCTGGAGTTACACTGAGACATACCAAGGGTACAACTAGAGCTGAACAATTTTTGCCAAAAATCAAAACTGTAATTATTTGCAACTAATGTTGTGATTGCAACTTTTCATTGTACTAAGTACCAGCATGTAAATGTTAGCCTCCATGCTTTTAGTTTTCATGGCTTGAAAGCTGACTTGTTTTGAGTCCATTGTTTCAGGACTGTACTGTAACCTTTGAGTGAAAAAGCTCTAACTTCTGCTATCGTGCATGGATCTGCATGCTAGCTGCAACTCTCTCATTTCCTTCTGTGTGATGGCAAAGTCACTTTGTTTTTTGCCAGCATTTTATTAACCCACTTTAAGTGTATTACCTCCATCTAAAGGGCTAAAGGGAGAAATTTGGTCTATTACTCTTTTTAAATGTAATATTACAACAAATGAGTGTCCTTTGTGATTATTGTGTTTTTCTAAATTGTGATTATATTGCAAAAGCAATTAATTGCCCAGCCATAGCTATAACAACCTCAAGGACATAATCTGTAGATATCCCAAGAGGAAGATGAGCATCACAATACCCAACAATGCAGGTGAGCTTCATGCTGCTATCATAGCAACCTGTGCTTTCTTTATACCTCAGCAGATGCATCAAACATATGAGGGTGTAAAGTGCTAATTTTATGGGCAAAGGTTTCAATAGATTTGAATTTTTGCATTAAAATCATGTTTTTAATGGTCCTTATAAATTTTATTAAACCATCATATAAAAAATCCCAATTATTTTGAATGCATTACTCTGTGTTTAATGAATAATGAGATGCACCTACAGTCAGTAGCTCAGAAAACGTGGTTATGTTATGGCTGTGTGTTTGAGGCTACCATGGTTACAGCAAGGAGTCACACTCTAAAGTAAAAAAAAGGAACTGTGCTTAATGCAACCCCCTCAACCACACAACAAATATTAGATATGACTCTCATTCCAGTCTTCTTTGCTTATGTTACCAAATGTTAACCCAAGCTGAAACTGGGAGTCAAGCAGCTTTAAGTTGGGGGCATTTTTCCACAACCAACAGAGCGGCTGGAGAGCAACTCAACCAAGATGAGGAATGTGAGAGAGGCAGCAGCTCCAGCTCTGCCCCAGTTTAACCACACAGGAAGCAGCACTGAGCTAGGCACGAATGCGGGCAGAGGGCAGAGATATTTGACTCACGGGAAGTGCCTCAGCTTTGTCAAGATACACAACCAAGATAGCTGAGGAGGGGGGGTGCGAGTTCTTGCTGGTGACGCTTTCATTCCTTTTCAGGACCTGGAGGAAATCCAGACACATGTAAAAGGAAATACTTACTTATCTTTATTTGTTTATCATTTAACAAAGTTATATTTAAACAGAACATAAAGCCTCCAACCTGCTCAAGTTGTTCAGTGTTTGGCTGCAAGGCCAACCACTCCAGTTTGAAATGAACACGTCCAGATGTCGTCTCTTTCAGTGTGAACCACTGGAAAAACAAATGCACTCGTATTTTAGTTTATAGCCTAAACACATAAAAAGCTGCTTCAAGACAATTTAATTAAAGCGATAAAAGCTGCTGACTTACATCATCAACAGCGATGGATCTCTTCACAATGCCCAAATCTAATTTAGTCCTGCAGAGAAATAAGTTGCAACACAGTATGGAAAACAATTCATTACTGTTAATAACCAACAAGCTAGCATATAGGGATTTTTTTCCCCTACTGTTTGCAATAGGCAACCAATGAAGGGTGAGAAGTGAATATGATAGATACAAAGACATGAATTATGCACATGTACCTTCCCAAGAAATCATCCTTGTCTGTGTCTTTGTCATAAACCTCCACCTCCAGCTCCTGACCCGGCACTTCATGGACAATAACCTTACGTACAACACACACATAATGGCATGAGGACTGACAGAGGGATTCGTATGGGTGCTGTCTTTGTGATGTATGAATGAAAACTTTTCAACACAATATGAGTCTGATCCCTCTAAGTGAAATGAACCTCTATAAACTGATGAAATAGAGAAAGTTCTTCAGTTGTATACAGCTGTGGTCACAACTATACAAACTTTATTTTCAGGCATGAACAGGGTTAAGGTCGAAGCTTGGGGAAATAATTCATAATGGATACAATGATGCTGCTTTATGCATTCCAGTCCTGCTAGAGCACCTAGCTGTTTGTCAACCATCTGACCCAAACTCTGAGCCTTACACTAAAGTATATTGGTTGGAATATTCAAGAACATCCAGTCTACTGCCTGTATCGATGTCCAAATTAAAAGAAGTTTACAATGGACATGGAGAAAGAAGAGAGAGGTACCTGCTTCAAAATCTGCACCCTAATCCCGGATTGAAATTTACAAAATGAATGTACTTCAGAGCTAAAGCCTTTCATTAAAAAAAAATAAATAAATTATTAAAATATTGTAAGAAATGCTTAATTTAGACCAGAGTCCCTCAATCCAAGTTCTCAGGTTTTGGCGTCCTGCACCTTTTAGATACGTTTCTGCTTCATATAATGAGTCAAATAACCAGAACATTAGCAGGACTGTGGAGAACATGACTACATACCGTGGAAATAAAGTTATTTGATTCAAAAATGAGGAAACAAAAAAGTGCAGAACTGGACTTGAACATGTTCTCTTTTCTAAAGTAGGTAATCTGTGATAATCTATTTCACTTCTATGATCTATAGCTAGAAAAATATAATAGATTGTAAGTATTGTAGGCAAAATAGTAAACCGTTGAACTTGCCTATTGGTTTTTTTGGGGGGTCAATGTATATATGATGATGCTGCACTGCATGCAAACACAATTATAGTACCGGTAAGCACTAAGTTCAGCTCCTTTAGCAGGGAAAGGGGGAATAAAGTGGGATTTGAAAGCCCACCTTTCTGTTTTTAAATAGAAATTTACAGACTATAGCTTTACATATCAACACAAGTATCAACTATACGTATATTTTAACCGTGGTATTTGATTAAAGCCAATTTCTACATAACGTTTAGTAATACATTCACTCCAGCCAAAAGAACTGGATCTTTTCAGTTCTATTTCAATTAAAGAGCTAAATTGTGAACATTTGTAATTTAAGGTCTTCTAAAAGAATAAGGATCCATGACACACCTCAGAACTGGTTCTGAAATATATCAAAGCTTCAGGAAGGTCCTGATCTCTTCTCTATTCAATGATGTAAATGTATTACATACATTTTAAGCCTTTTGAGAACATATCTGCTATTCCTCACCTCATACATCTCTCCCCACTTAGGAGAGTCGGTGTTATCGATGTGTTTGGAGGTAAAGGTCTGAGGACCCACCCTTAATATGGCATATGGGTCAGATAAGCCAGCCATGACACCTTTCACATAGTTGTCTTTGGCTGCAAGACTCTGCGCCTCCAGCAGATGGATGCGCACCACTCCCTGAGAAAGAGAACAGATGTGAAAAACAGAATCAACTAACTCAATTATTTGTAGGCAGTAATCTAATGTAGACCATGCAGGTATTGCAGCCTCACCCTGGGTAGGGGACAGCGCAGCTGAGCCACGTGCAAACCAGGGACCAGAGGGACAACTAGACGGTTTGGCAGCACCAAGAACGAAGCTATGGCGTCCATGATCATGCTGTCTGACATAACACTGTAACAAATGACAGTTTTTTATTTTCATTTTATTCAATTAGGTTTAGAGAAAAAAAAAGCAGGAGTCATTGCAACTGAGTGAAATCTAAGAAAGCCCATCTCAGCATGACTTACTTGAGTCCAGGAATGTCCAATAAATTGGTCAGTCCAGTCCAGTTGATGTCTAGTTTCTGGGAAGAAATGAGAGCACTGACCTTAGGGAAAATCAATGGGAACTGACAGAGAATCAATAGCAAGATAAGACTACAGAGGGACACGTGATAGTCACATCAAAGAAAGGTTATAAAGCAGCATTAAAAGGACAAATAGAAGTGACTTAAATAGACCTACAGGTCGACGGATGAAAAACATGGTGACGGCGCCCACTATGGGGACATCTCCAATCAGTGGCTCCAGAATCACTCGCATCATCCCATGTAGCTAACAGTGGAGAAACAAAAAAAAGGTTGAAAAGAGGTTTAGTTGGAAACCTTAGGTGGCATGTTGTTGTTAAAGAAGCAGACATGTATCTGAAGGCTGGACACAAGAACACACCTGTATTCCTTTCACTCCCGCTTTGCAGAAATATCTTTTCACCTCAACATTGATCTCCACATTTCCTACATAACTGAGGAGAAGAGAGCAGAGGTGTTAGTTACAGTAACGCCCGGCTAAAAGTTACTGGGACGTGGGAAATATATAAAAACAGAGGCAGACACCTGATGTAGAGGTCAAGCAGAACTTGACCTTTGTCATTCTCTGTGTGCGCCTTGATGCCCACCACCTTCATGGGCTGAAGCAAAAAAAAGGACAGAATATGAATAAGGAAAGCATCATCTAGCATCAATATTACAAGAATCTTTAATTTGATTTAGACCAATTTAACACATTTTAAACATGCTTTAATTCTAACCCATTCGGCTGTATTTTTAGGATCATACCCCTAGCATGATGGTGCCACCAGCATATTTCAGTGTGATACTCAAGGTGATGTTCAATGGTAGTATTTTATCACACTCAGGATTTTGCAGGTAGTTAACACTTATTTACGCACATCTACTTGTGAAAGCAACGTTTTTACTCAAATGCAGAATTTCCTCACTTCTCTGTGAAAACTATGTCTCTAAAAAGCAGCAGACAGATGGAAGGTTAATTCCATCTGTCTGCTGCTTTTTGTTAATCCATCACATTAAAGTTTATGGTTTTCAACCCTTCACTGTATTCTCTCAATGCCATCACCTTGTCTCCCATGTCCACTTTGGTGAAGTTGAGGGTCTGGAGGTGAGCGCTTGAGGCTCTGATAGAGGGAGCGATCGTTTCTATCAGCAGCTTCTCCAGGTACTGGCCGACAAAGGGCCACACCTGCTGCAGCACCTGGATGGGAAAATTAGCACATGGTATGAGGAGGATTTACATGTGAAAAAAAAAGCTATACATATTTGTAAACAGCTGCTTTCTGCTGTGGTAAATAAAAACATGGGGATTTGTCAGTTAAATAACAAAACTATTACTCAAATCTTCAGCTGCCAAAGGCAATAATAAAAGAATGACAGTGGCAGCTGAGAAGGGTAGAGACTTCTCAGCTGTTAGTCTGATAAGTTGTTTGGTTACTGACATGCGGTTCCTACATACATGTTACTACATACATGTAGAAACAGGTTTTTATCATCAACACTATGTAGAGATCTGTGCTCTGTGTGAACAATACTGCAATGAAATAATGTTGTTAAGAGTTTAGTTCAGTTCTTCCAGGGAAAGAATCTGAAGCCAAAGGCAGAGCTTGGCTCAAAGCCTCGGTGACTCTGGAAAAAAAAAAAAAAAAACACAGACGTTTATAGTCTGGCATAATTATGGAGTGAGTCATCAGCAGCCTTCTCCTGTGGAGGACAAAGAGAATCTGCTGACTGTCCCTCATATAAGCAGTCTCAAACCAAAGCTTTGTCAGTAGTCAGACGCCTAGATCTCGTGGTCCTTCAAGCTGGATTTATTTTTTTTATGTGTATAAAAGTGATCATAGTTTCTCTGGCCTAAAGCACAAAGGGGCTGCATCTTTTCTTTTTTTAGTTTTAAGGGCATGAGCAACTCCTCCCCCTTCCTGTCAGCCCGGTTGACTGCAATGAAATGGAAATGTTGAGTGGGCTGCCTGGCGCAGGGCCTGCTCTCTGCAGTACAATACCTTTACTAATAGGGGTGTGGCCCTTTAAGGGGACTAGCAGCAGCAGCAGTGCTACTGTTTATCATATAACACCATGTAATAACCTACCATATGCTTTCAACTTTCAATCAACACTGCAGCTGGTCTATTGGATGGACAAACCTGCTGTTTGCACGTATAAGGAACTGAAAGTATTAAATTGAAGATTGGAAATAAAACAGATCATGCAAAGTCTCACCTTATTCAGCCATTCAACCTTCTCCACGTCTGGAAAGTTTACCTAAAAAACAATGCAATGAAATACTTTAACTGTCTGGAGCATAATAAAACACATAACAGCATGGAGAAACAATCAGACAGAAAGAATACCTGGAAATCTCACCAGGTACCACCAGACACGCCTGAAACAAATCATTTCAAAACAGAGGGAAGAACTCCAACAAAGCAGGTCTCAGGATAAAGATAACTTTACATAAAAAACTGGAGGATTGCTCATCGATCTAAATGTATCAAGAGTTTTTGCTATCAATATTTTATTGTGTTTTTTTTGTTTTAAAGGGGACTCTGAATTTACAATGTAAGTTGAGTGGAAATCGATCCAGACTGGTGCTTAGTTTTAACTGCTTTAGAGGAAGGTTGCGTGCTGCCAGGTTATGCAAGCAATCACGGAAATCACAAAAGGTACCCACAGCCACCTCATTTGGGTGCAGCACGATGCTTTCAGTCAAATCAGGCACATGTGGCTTCTGCATGGTAGTTTTTTTTTCTGAGCACTTCAGAACCATGCAGCATGTATGAGCCCGCATGGCCTGCAGCACAGATCTCTAAGCCAAGTTTGATTTCAGCTGCAAACGATCAGTGTTTGAACATGCTATTAAGTGGTTGTTGTTGTTTTTTTTTTAGTGAAAATAAGTATTAACTCTCACTGCTGGATTTGACAAACACAAAACCTTTTAAAAAGTGCATTCAACACTAGCTAGTTAATGACGACAACTGATCCGTTGCTATTAGTTACCGCTATGGTGGAAAAGTGACTTTCAAATGATTTCAACCAATATATTCTAAATAATTCAACTTCTATTTGTGTTGCATGGGATGATCTTTAGTAATGGAATCTCATCATTCAAGCTGCATTTATAACAACAAAAAACCAAAACACATTTGAATGCACATGGTCCAATTTACTCCAGTAATTTTTGGAATGTTAGATTTGATCTGATTGCACCAATTTATGACAAAATAGGAAAACAAATAAAAAAAAAAATCAGTACCTTACATATACCTAAGTGAGCAACACTGTGTTTTAACTGATTTGATTTATTTTAAATAAAAGCCTTGCAAAAAGGAATGGTATTTAAGCAAATAAAAAACTATATATATATATTCTAAAGATAGTGGTTGGAGGATTTGAGACCAAAAACATCCAAATAACAGGCATTGGTTTGGTTAGTCAGCTGTAATAATTGAATTGGCATGAATGGGGTGTAATCTCCAGAGGATGTATTACTGATACCAGGCATTTTTTAATCTTTATATTTCAGAGGTATGGGTGTTGGTCCCTACCCACGCAGGGAGGTCTCTCTTGATCGTGGACGCTCTCTTCCATGTGTGCTCCTCCTCGTTGTCCAGCAGCTGTATGGCCGACTTGAGGCGCTCCTCCTTCGCCTCTCGGGCATGTTTCCATCCCGTATAGACCATCATGCCGCACACGAGCAGGCTGGTGCTGACCCGATAGTAGCCGGCCAGATAGACAGGGAGCAAAGCGCTGAGACATTTCCCGAAGGTCCACAGCACAGCCACGGCGCTGATTCCTTTGGGTTTGGAGGCTTCTGCGGCTCTCAGGTTACTTAACGCATTCTCCTCAGCGCCCTTGGCTTCGGTCGGCTCCGACTTTTCACTTTGCATTTCTCTGGTTTTTATATTTAACGCAGTTTAATAAGGGTGATGCGGTCGTAGTGATCGGTGTATGGACGCACCTAAAGGCTACAGGTCCATATCAACATCAGCGCGCGGTGGAACAAACGGACGGCTGCGCGTGAACTTCAGATTCCGCTGCTAGTGAAATGAGAGCATTAGTGTTCAAACATGCTGTAATGGAAGTTAAATAGCGCAGTAGGTCTGAAGGAACACCAGAGAAGAGAACCAAGTTTGTGCCTCACCAGCGGTCCGTTAGCTGGATGAAAACACGCCCACTGCCACCACAGGGGGAAAAAATGCATCCATGAGTTTTTCGGTTCTGCGTCACACTGTCTACTTCACCATTGGCCTATAACGAAGATAATTAGGGCCACTGAAAAAATTAAAAAAAAGTTAATTGACTTTTAAATATAATTTCAGTTTATTATGGGGAAAAAGTCAGAATTCTGACCTTAATTTCAGAATTCTGACTTTTTTCTCAGAATTGTTACTTTTTTATAAGAATTCTGACTTTAATCTCAGAATTTTTTACTTTTCCTCAGAATTCTGACTCTAATCCCAGAATTCCGACTTTAATCTCAGAAATCTGACTTTTTTTCTCAAAATTCTGACTTTTTTTCCTATGAATTCTGAATTTAATCTCACAATTCTGACTTTAATCATACAATTCTGACTTTAATCTTATAATTCTGACTTTAATCTCAGAATTCCGACTTTAATCTCAGAATTCTGACATCCATATTTTCTAAATAAAGACAAACCATACTTTCCTGCAGCCTTTGCTAACAAATAGACAAATATATTTAACACCTATGCTGTGTAAATAAAAGGTAAAGTGGACAAAATTCTTTCAGGTTTGAGTTCTGGGGCGAACATACTTTACATTGTCGTTACTTACTTTTATCAATAATCATTCTGCAAATAAATGATATATAAATCTACTAATATCCACATTTAATGAATTTTTAAGGTTTTATTAAAGTAGTTATTTATCTATGATTTCACTGAAGATAATATGATTAATATAATTTTATCTTTACCCCAAATAATTCACAATTTAGTTCTCAAAAGAGCATGAATTCTACATATTTAATGTTTGTATATTGATGTGCATAATTAACCACATTGTTTCTGTTGTCAAGGAGTTGTAAATATATAAACAATTTTATTCTTCAATAAGTTTGACATTCCTCCATTAGAGTATTACTGGGAAAAAAATGGTAGGGGTGGCCATGGCCACCCTTAGCCCCCATCTAGCTCCGCCCCTGCCCAAAAGCCTCCACAGTGTGTTGCAAAATGAATCATTGTCAGAGACCTTTTGCCCATTTTATGTAACAACCATAAATCTACTGCAATTAATTTAATTTTGACTTTTTTTTTTTTTTGTGACTACGTGAAAAGGGGCTGTCTCACAAATTAAAAAAACACCCCCATCCCCAGGCAATACCACCCTTCAGTCTTCAAGGTTATGACTCTATAAGTCCTTCCTTTTTTGCAGTGTCTTTGAAGTCCCACCCATTCCTTAATTAGACTTAGGTTGGACCAACAATTCTAAATGTTTTTTTATTTGCCACATTGAATCATCATCATTAGTTAAACAGTTAAAAAATGTTAGTCTAGGATTTGAATCTCTATCTATCCTTTTAACTTATGATCTGAAGGATTCCATTGTTGCTCTGGCTGTGTTTAGTGTCATTTAAGAACTTTCCCATCATTGTTAATATTTTTGAAATCTCAAACTTTTTAAATTCATATTCCCATCATCTCTTGATCAGCTTTCCTGCTCCTGTTAAAGTAAAACAATCCCACATAATGAGGCTACCGATACCATCCTTCATGGGGGGTTTTAGATTTCCCCCTCACACTTTTGCATTTACTGTAGTGAAAATATTCATGTTGTAGTCTGACTAGAGCTCTTACTAGTCTCTTTCTGTGTTTGCTGTGTCCACTATGTGTTCAGTGGGACTGAAAATTGAACCTCTATAGGTCCTTCTCAAAATATTAGCATATTTTGATAAAGTTCAATATTTTCCATAATGTAATGATCAAATTTGAACATTCATATATTTTAGATTCATTGCACACTAAATAAAATATTTCAGGTCTTTTATTGTTTTAATACGGATGATTTTGACATACAGCTCATGAAAATCCAAAATTCCTAAATCACAATATTACTATATTTCATCTGACCAATAAAAGAAAAGTGTTCTTAATACAAAAAAGTCCATCTTTAAATAATTATGTACAGTTATGCACTCAATACTTGCTGGGGAATCCTTTTGCAGAAATGACTGCTTCAATGCAGCATGGCATGGAGGCAATCAGCCTGTGGCATGGCTGAGGTATTATGAAGGCCCAGGATGCTTCGATAGCCGCCTTTAGCTCATCCACAGTGTTGGGTCTTGCATCTCTCAACTTTCTCTTCACAATATCCCTCAGAATCTCTATGGGGTTCAGGTCAGTAGAGTTGGCAGGCCAATTGAGCACATTGATACCATGATCAGTAAACCATTTACCAGTGGTTTTTGCACTGTGAACAGGTGCCAGGTCGTGCTGAATAATGAAATCTTCCTCTCCATAAAGCTTTTCAGCAGATGGAAGCATGCAGTGCTCCAAAAATCTCCTGATAGCTAGCTGCATTGACCCTGCCCTTGATAAAACACAGTGGACCAACACCAGCAGCTGACATGGCACCCCAGACCATCACTGACTGTGCGTACTTGACACTGGACTTCTGGCATTTTGGCATTTCCTTCTCCCCAGTCTCCCTCCAAACTCTGGCACCTTGATTTCAAAGTGACATGCAAAACTAAGCAACAGTCCAGTGCTGCTTCTCTGCAGCTCAGGTCAGGCGCCTCTGCTGCTGTATCTGGTTCAAAAGTGGCTTGACCTGGGGAATGCGGCACCTGTAGCCCATTTCCTGCACACGCCTGTGCACCGTGGCTCTGGATGTTTCTAGTCCAGAGTCAGTCCACTGCTTCCGCATGTACCACAAGGTCTGGAATCGGCATTTCTCCACAATCCTCCTCTAGTGCTTAGGGAGGGGTTTGAGATTCAGCCTTAGGCAGAACCATACAGGATGGTTGCCTGAAGAGGAATAAGGACTTAAGGCCTATTGGCTGGAGCGTTGGCGCCTGATGAGGTGACTGAATGCAGGTAATGCTGGGATGAGTCTTCCAGTTTGAATATGCATCTAAACCTCATATTAAAGGATTAACTGTTGCACTGTTATTTTAGTTTCATTTTTCCCCTACGAAGGAAAAACATACAAATAAATAAACTGGCCCCATCCTGACCCTCCTGGTAAATTTAGTCTAGAACCGCCACTGGGGCCTCTTGGCTGTGTTTCTCATTATTATCCTGCGTTTCATTACTGTTGACTTAAGAAGTCAGAGTGACATCATCTCCAAGGTGATATAGCTTTCCAGTTTCCCACTTTCGGACACTCTTATATTATTGGCCACTAAGACTGGTGTACCATAACAAAGACAAACAAATCCCAAAACACTGTTCTCTGTATTTTTTGCATACAAAAAGTTTGGAAAGCGCTTGTTTTATAAACATTTAAAAGTAGTAAGTACACAAATAACTATATGTAAAAAATAAAAAGGACTGATAAAAAAGTTAAAAGTCAGAAAGTTCTACTATTGTTGATACCATGAGCCATCTTGTAGCTGTTGGGGTTTAGTTGTATTGCCCTGAGTTTTCAACTAGTAATTCAGTTTTAATTTTTATTTGTATACTAGGTAGGTTTATAGTCATCTCGTACTTTCTATTACTCATTTCTCTTAAATGTTCAGTCCGGCCTGTCTTGGCTGTTCTCTACAGGTATTGAAACTTTTGATACATTCAGACAACAAACAGAGAGTAAATAACGTTAAAGCACTACCAGCTGCACATAACAATGAAGGGGATGAATACCTACACTGCATACTTGGGAAGTAAACAACCCTTAAGGATGCATTGTATCATTTCCTTTCACTACATAACTATGCACTCATTTGTGTCGTTTTTCACTTTAAAATGCAGCCTAGTCGTTCTGATAGAAAAACCTTTCCTGCATCTTTGGAACTCCTTACTAAAAATAAGATACAAAAACTAGATGCTGAGGCTCGATTCCAGTGAGTTTTAGGAAGTGACTGATGTGAATAAACAGGGACTGACTTCCCATACTCTCTGGGAGTCCCGTCTGGTGAGCAGGCATTAGATACGGGCCGTTTCAGGAAGGAAGGACCAAATTTAATGCTGTGCTCACAAGCGACCCTGGTTAAAAAAAAAAAAAAAAATCTATTTTTAGCTGTATGCCCAAAAAAGGGCCAGATATTTCTTTTTTTTATCTAATTTCAGTTGATATATTTTTCAAACCACCAACTGTTTACCCACTGATTACAACCAATTTTGTCAGCATTTTGTCTTTGGATTCCGGCTCTTTTGGGGCTTTAAGCAACCAAAGTGTGTTTATAATTCAGGCCAACCCTGACAACAGTAACATAACAAAGTTGGAATATTTTCACCCAAAAAAAACAAACAGATACCTGTAGTCATTCTACAATCTTCAAGCTCAACTCAAGACATTAAGCTGAGCATCTTTATTAAAACCCAACTGATTCTGAGACCCAACAGATTCAGTGACTCAAATTCTGTAAGGGCTTTAAGTCACGTTTTAACTATATACATAAAAAAAAAAACTTCCAAACATAAGGTCCATACAAATCAAACTCCAAATCTTAAGAGTGACATAGAAAAACTCACTACAGAGTTCACAATTCACAAAAATAACATTAAAAAAATACAAATGAAAATGCCAAAAAGCAAGCTACTGTCTGATGGACATCACAATTTCCCATGGTGATGAAAACAGACAGACGGTGCCAAATGTTACAGCTGTTTGAGGAGGGACATATCTGAGGCTCCTGAAGAAACAGATTAAGTTCAAGTTTACACAGCATAACTCCACCCAAACATCTGAACCAACAGGATGTTGAAGGCTTTAACCACTTGAAACCATGTCTGCCTACAGTTGACTTAAGTATCTCCACCTACCAGTTCAAGTGTAGGCATAAAACATACATATAATGAAACAGGGACATAAAACAGGACTCATCATGGCTGTTAAAGTACCAAAATTAATTTACAACAAACCAATCCACAAAAATATAAACACAGATGGATTTCCTCTGTCTTCATGTGCAGCCACGGAGAATCTGGAATCTTTAAGGGAGGGAAACTTCACACTTTGAGTTTATGTCTGGGTGAAAAATCCCCTCTAGGTAAATACACG